CAAGCCCTTTTCTAGTAAAATGATATTCAGTTGTAAGAAAAGCAACCACAAAGGGTTTTTTTTTCCCCTTTACTTACTCTCTCTCTCTCTCTCTGTTATGATTCGTACACAGAGTATTTCAAAGTCTTATTTAAACTTTCTAAAGTGAATCATTCTCATGGAATGATTTCTTGTAATAATAGTAAGTGCTTAATGTTTCTTAGCATTCAGTACTAAAGTTGCTCACTGCTATTATTAATAAATGCAGTTAAATATCACTATAAGGTAGACTTTCCGTGGGTTTGAGCATTTGAATGAGAGAAGGAAGGATACTGATGGCTGATACTCGTGGAAACATGTTAAGAGTGATAACATCAGGGTGCTGAAGAGCATGGTACGAAAGGCCCTGAACGGGGCGCCCAGAGGCCTGGTCCCAGTCAAGCCATAACCACCCAGGGCATCTTAGCAAATCCTGCTATCTCCAAAGCCGGGCACCATTTTCTCCATAATGTCCAACGTCGCTATAAGCCTGAGGGGGTCCCTTCTGGGGGTGTGCTTGAAGCACAGGCTGCACCTGCACTGTGTGGTTTAGGAGGGTGCACTCAAGGAGGTGTGTAGTGGGGTGTGGGGTGGAGCGGGAGACAGTCAGGAGGACCTTGCAGGGTGGCCCAGGAGCCGTGGCGAGGAAGAAGCAGGGACCTCTGGCTGACAGGGAGGCCCTCTGGGGAGGATGTGGAAAGGATGCCCCCCCCCCCGCAGTGTGCCGGAACTCAGGAGAGCTTACCCCCGCACCAAGGCCACGCTGTCTCTGATGGCGGCGGGGAGGCGGGGGTGGCCGACCTGCAGAACCGGAGGTTTTCTCAGGAACACTGCCTGGAAGGGACGGGTCTTGCTATCAAGAAACCCGGGGATCAACGTGTGTCTCTCTGAGTCCTGGCTCAGCGCTTGGCGCACGGCCAGCCTTCCCTGAACGACTGCTGTCTTGTGTTTGCTGTTGTCTTTATGGTTATTAAATGAGAGAAGGAGGTGAAGGAAATTGCAGCCCTGGACAAGGACTCCGTGGGTTTTTTCTGAATTACTCTAGAAAGGACTTTATGAGCAGAGCGTGGCCACAGGCCGGTGCAGCTCCGCAGGCTGGTCTGGATCGTCTGAACTGCGGCGGTGGGGCCGGGCAACCTGAGAGCAGAGGCGTGTCGAGCGCTGTGGTGTGGGGGGCTCGGTTCCGCTGGCTCCAGATCACCAGCCCAGGAGTGGGGCAGGCTGTGTGCACCGTGAGCCAGGCCGTCAAGCCTTGAAGCAGCCTGGCCGCACTCAGGCACGTGTGTCACCAGACATAGAGGAAAGGAAGCCAAGAGTCCCCCTAGAGACAGGCTGAGCTTAGTGTTCTTGTCACTTATCTAAGACTTGTAGCCATCTCTTAAGTCACTGTCCCTACCCTTGAGAAGGTAGAGGCGCAGAGATCCTAAATGGGGGTCCCCAGCAGGGCTGAGGCCAGACCATCAGAGTTCCGGATCTCTGGCCTCCCCCCCATGGTGTAACTGGGACTTGTCCCCAGAGTTCCCCTGTGGAAGCAGTATTATTCTGTGTGTCACACTGTGGTCAGGCTGTCGTCTTGGGAATGTGACTGGGGTTTTTGAAATGTTCTGCTTTGTGGCCTCATGCGCCCCGGTACCTGTGTGAAATGATGCAGGCTACCTGTTTTTCCCCCCTAGTACAGGGGATCGAACCCAGGGGTGCTTAACCACGGAGCCACATCCCCAGCCCTTTTTATTTTTTATTTTGAGACAGGGTCTTGCTAAGTTACTGAGAGTCTCGATGTTGCCTAGGCTGGCCTCCAACTTGCCATCCTCCTGCCTCAGCCTCCTGAGCTGCTAGGCCCACAGTGTGCCATAGCACCTGGCACAGGCCACAAACCACGCATGCCACCAGTAGAAGCAAGAAAGGGACATCAAGTACACACTCATAGCACACAGGTGTCCAACGCCAAGAAGGCGAGTGTCCTGACTTACTGGATGGTGGCAGTCTTGTAAAGCGTTGGGGGCAGGGACCCCCCAGCACACACTGCTCCTGCTTGTCTAGACAGACTCACTCACTGTCACTCAAGCCAGTTGTGTCAAAACTTGATCTGATGTTACAATACCTACTATGGCAACTTCTGGTTCTGTGTGTTACCCAAATGTAACTTAGCAGAAAAACGTTTTTGCTACATTGGTAAGACTTACATCCTTTTAAAAACAGAATTGGACTTGGATCTCCCTGTGTTTTTCATTTGTTCAAACATTACAAGAATTCATTGGAAAGAAAGTGTCCTTTAGCATTCTGTCATTTCAAACATACTCATCACTGATTACGAACATTCTCCGTTTCTAAAATCAGGTGATGCCAAACTTTCCAAAATATCACACTTGAAATTCTGGTCGACTCTGGATATCTCCATGATGTCTACGTATAAAATAAAGAATAATCCTTGTCAAAAGTTTCAGTCATTTTTATTCAGGAAAGAAACCTCATCTATGGCGGTTCCTGGTGGGTGTCTTGACATGTTCAGAGTGACAGCCCCTGAGAGGAAGGCCGGGGTGAGTGTTCCAGCTGCCACCCTCCTTCCTGGGACAGTGAGAGTCTTAACATCTCACAAGTGAAAACAGCACTTTTCCTTATTGTGCAAAACCTGGATTTTGACATCAAGGTTCAGAGCAGCAGGGCTGCTGGAGAAGGTTCCGGAGACCCTCCTGCACTACCTCTCAGAGACTTCCCGCCACCTGTGCCACTTGGGTGGCACGAGTCACAGAGATCACCTGAGCAACTTACCATAGTGTGGAATTCTGCAAGGTGGTGCCAAGGTCCTGGTACCTTGCCAGAGTTCCTTACTGGTGCATTATCTAGTCAATCCATTGCATCATTCAGAAGAATAAAGACCCAGCTTAGCACACAGGAAGCTTAACAGCAGCAAAAAGGAAATAGAAAATATCAAGACATATGCATGTGTGAGTCACATAAAATGTACATACCTAAAATGTACAATATGTGCTCTAGAAAACTCAATGACTTATTAAATATACACAATGATACCTACCTGATATATTTGAAATTATAAACCTTGTCAATTCAGATTTGGATTTTTTCTGATTTTTCAAAGTTATACATATGATGTAACCTTGAATTTGTGGTAGAATTATGTAATAGGAAATACAAAACATAGGTTTCCAGATTCACTCATAGCACACTCACACGCCCAAAGAAAATAGAGCTGCCTTGGGCCCCCCACTGATTCCCTCCTCCTGCAGCCCCGTCCTGCTGGGCACACCAAGGAGCACGCATGGCTTAAAGGGCACCTTCCTTTGGGTGGAATCCAGTCGGGTTCAAGGGATATGCTACATCGTCCAGAGGCAGTCCTGAGGTTTCCTGGGGTGAGTCAGTCCCTTGGCGAAGGCTCAGACCTTCAGAATCTCTCTCCTCTCCCCTAGGGGCTCCCGCGCTCTGTGGCCTCATGACGTGACGGGAGGCAGGGCAGCCCTGGCCACCCTCCGACTGGTGTCCTCTGAGATCTGCTGCCTTCTTCTGCCCTGGCCACCTTGCCTGGGCTGCGGCCTGGGGCTGGTGTGGCTGCCTGCTCTCAGCCTGTGTGACCTCACGGCTTCTCCCGGTGGCGTGCTCCATAAGGTAGGCTCGGCCTGGCCTCAGTGCCACTCCCCTCCTGCCCGGAGACTGTGCCCAGGGGACAGCCGACACCATCAGCCTCCTGTGCGGCCTGCCTCCTGCCTGCAGGAGCTTCTCAGTGCTCTGTGCAGCTTGGGGCCCGCGGCAGGCAGCTCAAGAGTGATGCGAGCTGGGTCTCCAGGCCCGACTGCCCAGGGGCCACCAGGCACCGTGAGCCTGTCCCTCCCTGTGGTACAGGGGAGTGGGGTGCAGTCCTTTCTGGAATTTGGGCTGGACTTGAAGCTCTCCTCCTCTGCTCCCTTCCTCCACCCACACCCGCTCCCGACATCCTCCTGGATTCCCGCAGGTTTCCAATCACCCTCCCCTGCACCAACCCCAGAGCAGCTCACAGGGCAGGTCTCCCCATGAACAGGACAAGGTGCTCACAAAACTGTCTCAACTTTCAAAAGAAGCAGATTTCATTGCCTCCACCAAGAAAGTACTACTTTGATTTTGGTTTTTAGAAGCAGAGCAGTCAACTTTTAATTGGCTTTCCTGCACAAACGAGTCCCAGCCACCTCACCCCAGTGCTGAGAAGCACAGGAACAGGTTTTCAAAAGATGTAGCCCTGTGGCTGGTGTGAATGGGTCAGACCAGGGGTCTCCTGGGCCAGCAGAGGCGTGACGGTTATTCTGAAAGTTAGGAAGCCCTACACCAGGGCCTTTCTGTTATGTCATGTACTCCATCCAGCACTTACGTGGCTGCACTGGGAGGAAATTCTGAAAATTCGACTTCTGTTTTTTTTTTACCTTATTTTATAGGATTATTTCCCTCTTTCATTTCCTGTTTTGGGTACCCTAAAATAGCCTGTGACCTAGATTAAGCACCACCCACTCTATTTTGCCATAGATTTCTTGTAATTAAGAAAACTTCAGAAAATTCAATATTACTACGCTGCATTTGGGAGATGATCTCAGACGGATGCTGAAATGAGATTGTAATTTTTTTCTTTTGACCTCAATATGAGACTTAACAGTCAGACTCTGTACATGATTTTCTTATTCAAAATCCTCCTGTCTAAACAAAACAAATCTGTCAGTTGATTATCCATACAACCTTTAAACTCAGGAACTTTTTAAAGAGTTTCACAAACTCCCTGAAATGATATATAATTTTATACATATATGTTTTTACAGGAGAAAAATCCATAGATTTCATTAACTTTGGTTTCCAAACATATTTGTTTACTTGTACATTCCATGCCTAATAATAAAGTAACCAGTCAATTATTTGAGAACATTAAAAAGATTTCTACTTTGCAATGAAATAGGGTAAAAAGGGATCTGATTGTGGGTTAATTTTTAACCTGCTGAAGGTGTGAAGCAGTAACTAATAAGCACCTCTCACTTCGGACGTGAAGGCAGATGGAACCCGCCCCCCCCAACCCCCGCCGCTCCCTTCCTGGCACAGCCCCTTGGATCTGCCTGGCACTGTGCTCAGCCAAGCCCAGCTCGGCCACTCCCCCGAGCTCTGCAGGTCAAGCCTTCCTGTCTTTGCACACGCTGCTTTCTCTTCAGAACCCTGATGTCACCTCCTCCACCTGCAGGCCCTTCCTCTTCCTTGGCGGTGGTCCCTGCCAGGCACGCTGTCCTGCAGTTATTTCCTTCCAGTTCCTCGTCCCTGTTAACAGTGAATACCTTTCTACTCATCAGTATGCCCAGGACTGAGCACAGAGCCCCCAGGTGATGGTGAACTAGGAACTCAAACAAGAGGGTTCCAGAGAGTGGCTAAGAGACAAAGAGGCCTGGATTCACCATTATCGCCACAGAACTACCTGGACTGATAACCCAGCTCCACAGAGATCCCCACCATGCACTGAGAGGAGGGGTGGGCTGGCAGCTCCGCCTGGGCCTGGCGCCCCTCCATGGGAGTTCTGGGGCACACCAGCGTCCTGAGCCACCCCTGTCTTAGCCTATGCCACAAGGGCACCTCCTTTAAGAAACAGGCTGGTGAAGACCAGGACCTGGGCGGCTTGGCCAAGTGGGGGCTCCAGTGGTCCCCAACAGGCCAGGGCTGCAGTCTCCACGCAGAGCCTGTGTGCAGAGCACGTCACAGCCTCTGTCATCACGTTTGATCTCGGTTGGCCAGAGTTGTCACAGACATGAAGAGAACCACATCAACTTACGTAGCTCAAGGTAAGGCCTGTGGACAAGCCCAGCCTGGAGAGCGGCCTTGGGAAGGCCAAGGCGACGGGGAGACCTCAGGTGAGCAAGAGCTGGTGCTGTGCTGAGGGCAAGGAAGGTGTGGGACCGGACACAGGAAAGGCAAACGTGTCCTTCTCTGCTGTGGCCCCCGACCCCATTTCTGCTCTCCCAAGGCAGCCACCACGCAGAGTTCCTGTGTGCTCTTCCAGAAGTGTCTGCACACACACACACACACACACACACACACACACGCACAGGTCATACTAAAATACCACACACACGTCTACACAACTAGAAGCATGCATTATATAAACACACATGTAGACATGAATTATAAGACAGTACCTATGAAATCCGTGACAGCCTACCTATGTGTGTGTATACACATGCCACATCCTGTATAAACTTAGTCCGCGTGTGCTGCGTGTATGGGGATGGATACACGAGGCAGCTGTCCTTTGTCATCCAAGAAGGAATGGTGGTGGGGCTGCCTGAAGGTGCAAAGTCGGCCGATGCTCAAGTCCCTTATATAAAATGGTTCCGTATTTGCATCCCATATACTCCAGAGGGTCTCTAGGTCACTCTAATGCCTGATGCTTGTAAAAGGCTGTCACATCATACTGTGTAAGGAACGATATCAGAGGAAGATGTCTGTACATGTTCAGCCAGATGCAGATTTCTTTCCAAACATTTTTGGTCCCTGGTTTTAGTTCACAGTCACAGTGCCTACAGATACGGCGGGCCAACTGTGGGTAAGACCAACCATGCACCAAGCCCTGTGCTTAACCAGGCCTTAGGGGAGGGGTTGGTGGCTGAGGGTGGTGACTGAAGGGAACAGCTGGTTCTGCAGTGAATTTCAGGGCTCAGGAGCCAGGGTTTTGCTGGTGAAGAAGAGGGCTGGCTGCTTTCATGGGCAGGACCCCTGGTGGCTTGGTCCTTGCTGCCAGCTTGGTGGTGGCTCTCCCTGTGCAGCCACTCTCAGGAGCTGCTCTGCGATGGCAGCAAGGCTGGTGACTCTGGCCTCAACGCTGACCAGCTGGAGCCTGTTGCGCAGGGTGCCGCAGGGAGCCTGTCTCCCTGCCTGGGACTGGAGGCCCCAGAGTTGGTGGCACATGCTGTGCAGACCTGAAGCTTGTGACCAGCACCTAACCCACTGTCTCCCCTGCAGAGTCCGCAGCACCCACGTGGCAGATGGCCCAGTGGCTGCCCCTCTCCCTCGACACGGTGCCATGTGGAAGTGCACCTTGCTCTTCAGTATCTGTTTCCTCTTCGACGCTCAAGGTACTTTTGAACTGTGCAGGGGAGCCTGCCATTTGGTGCTTTTTATGTGCAGCACCTGGGGTCCCTGGGGTCCCTGGGGTGAACTATCTGATGCTCCCCACATCCTCGCCTTTTCTCCATTACCACATAAAACTCTTCTTCCTTGAAATGGGCGTCACATTCAGGTAACTAACATATTTGGAAGACTCTTTTTTTTTTTTTTTAATGGAGCATTTAGACTTTTGACGGTGCTCTGAGTGTCGTTTCTGTCCCACCTCTGAGCCAGGGTTGGGCTGTGTGGGCGGGGGGCTCTGCAGACACCCCGTATTCTCCAGATGGGCTGGGTGGCTGGGTGCAAAAAGAGATTAAAAAGGGGGAGAAGGACCTGGGGAAGGCAGGGCATGGGGACATTCAGCTCTCAAGTGCCCGCGCATGCATCTGTTTTTTGTCATTGTTTTTTTGTGGTGCAGCCAGGGTTACGCTGGGCCTCACCCTCTGCCTGGGACAGCGTTCTTTAATGAGTTCGTTGCTGGAGGTGAACCCAGGAAGTCGGGACTGGAACCTCTCAGCAGGAGAGCCTGGGTTCCGAGTTGGAGATGCCAGAGTCTCGGCAGGACTGAACTCTTCCCGGCCTTGGCCCTCAGCTGTGCCTGGGGAAGGGGAGCTGAGCAGACACACTGGCTGCCCCTGACCCCTGAAGTCCCAGGGGAAAGGAGCTATGCCTGTCCTATGTGTCTCCAGAGAGCACAAGGTACAGGACTTGGGCCCCACCGCAGGAGGGACTTCCTGACATGAAGTAGAGCAGGCCACTCGGCAAGTGATGCGCCCAGCGTCCTGAATGGAGGCAGGTGCTGGGTAGTCTCCAGGTCCTTGACATCTCAGGAGCACGGTGCTGGACCAGTGCGTCCCCACCAGGGTGGCTCTGTCCTGTGGAGCTCTCTGCGGGGAAGGCGTGGCCTGTCTGGGAGCCAGCCAGGGAGGCCGATGCTCCTGAGTGAAGAGCTGACTTTGAAGGTGACTAACTGATTAATTTCTATTTAAATAGCCACACGTGGCTCCGTCTGGTCTGAAATCGCCATCTTGGCAGCTTGCATCTCCTCTCACTGGTTATCCCGTACTGTGACCTGATGCTGGATGTGGAATCGCAGGGTGTTCTCCTGGGTCAGAGGAAGCCACCTCCTGAGAGAAGCAGAAGTCATGTAACAGTACCGACGGGGAATGAGGGGTGGGGGACATGAGTATGTCCAGCTGGAAAAGGCAACGCCAGAGAATCCTGCCCGGCTTTTCCAGGGGCTCAGGGGACCCCTGCCCTGGCCGGCCCTGTCGGGGCTGGGTGCTACCAGAGGGTGGTGCTCCCCTGAGCCCCTTCTGGGCCGGCCGCTTTGGCCTGTATGGTTTTAAGAGTGGTTGAGATGCAGACTGAGGTGATAAGCAACCTCAGGCTTCATGTCATTTAACCAGAAAGAGGAAGTTGTCAGGAAGAGGCCTCAGGGATTATATAATCCCGTCCCCCCATTTTACGGAGAAGAAAGCTGACGGTGTGCAGCCCAGAAAAATCTCGACTTGCCGAGGTCATGAGGTGTTTCAGAGTTAATTTTGCTATTGTGTAAATCAACATGTAGTAAGCATCGAACAGTTACCCATCTAAAATGTGCCCCTTTCTTGAAACAAAGGCAGAAGTCGTGCCCCCCAGGGGCTCGGGAGCTGGAGAGGCCAGGGCGTCCCCAGTAGCCCTGCGGAGGACTGGAAGGGCTCAGGGGTTTGGGGCTCTTTGGTGCAAGCTTGATCCGAGGGGGGTTGGCTTCTGTCTGTGCTCGGCCGGATCCGTCCGTAGAACAACCTAAGACACTCGCTGTCCCCACTGCCCACATTCGCTCCCACAGAGCCCGGCCGTAGCAGTCCCCAGAGTCTGCCCAGGGCCGGGTAGCACTCTGCAAGCCTCCTCAGCAGCAAGACCTAAACAGGTCCTGTTCTGTTTGCCTTCTTGAAAACCATACTTCACCCACGTGAAACCAGCTAGCAGCCTTCAAACCAGGAAGGCCTCCAGGTACTTTCTGAGGCTGCTCTGACTCACGTCTTACCTACATTATTTACCCCAATTTAAAAAGTGAATAAAATAAAGCCAAGACATGAGGACTCTCTGTTCAACGTGAACTATCTGATGCTCCCCACATCCTCGCCTTTTCTCCATTACCACATAAAACCTTCTTCCTTGAAATGGGCGTCACATTCAGGTAACTAACATATTTGGAAGACTCTTTTTTTTTTTTTAATGGAGCATTTAGACTTTTGAAGTTAGTTAGTCAAGCGCCAGGACCTAATCAAATTCCTTATAATGACACCTAGAGTTTTGTGACATAACTTGCCCACCCAAACCCAGAGCTGGTTTCCCACTGGGTCCCCACGCAGGGGGACTACACGTGACTTCCTGAGCCCTCCTGGCTCTCCTCGGCCTCTGCCTGTGCAGGGACGCCCTGGCTTCCCCCTGCCCACCCGACACGGTCCCCATCTGCGCCTGGCTTTCCTCTTCACCTGGCTGGCCTGTCCCTCGGGGCTGCCTTCCTCCCTCCTCGCCCCTTTCCTGCCCTCGGGCCCCTCCTCCTGGCTCTCAGCCCCCCTCTTCTGGAGTCTCCTCCACCTGAGCCCACCCAGGATGGTCCCACCTCTGAGCCAGAGCTGGGGGTTGGGCTGTGTGGGCGCGGGGCTCTTCAGACACCCGGTACTCTCCAGATGGGCTGGGAGATGTGTTCAGGTCACACAGGATGGACGCCGTGTCTTCAGGGCCAGGCTAAGTCACCACACTACCTGGCCTTTTAGTTCCATATGTAGCAGACTGACACCTAAGAAAGAAATGGAACTTCAAGACACATAAATAGAAGCACACCGCTGCCTTAGAATGCTACTTCTATTTTTACTTCTAAAAATTGTCTCTTAACATTTTGATCACTTACTGTGAAGAGGTAGTGAACTAATTGTGTTACAACCTTTCTTTAACCAGCATGCAGAGCCTGCGCCTGCGCCAGGGTGCCCAGCCCTCCCTGCAGCCCGAGGCAGCCTGACACCTCGTTCTGCCAATGCGGAGGGTGTAGGGGTCGTGCAAGCGGCTTCCATGCCTGCCCTCGACAGCCTCCGTTGCTGGTCTGTACGTCTCCTCCTCCTGCTCTGCTGGCTCCAGGCCACCTGGAGTGTTCAAGCAGAAGATGGTGGAGTCGCCAGGCAGGTGACATCTGTCTCAAGCCACCACTTGGAGGAGAGCTGCTTGGTGATTAGGGGACACACTTTGAACTGTGAGTGAGCAAGACATAGCTACCACCACGAGGCCCCTGAGATGCCTACTGGCAGTGACGCATGCATCAATTGGTGAGTTGCATAACATTCCTGTGAAGTGTCATCTCCATTTTACAGATGGAAGACCAAGAATGAAAGTGATCACATTTCTTGCAAGAGGCAGAGCTAAGATTTGAACCTGGGCCTGTCTGTTTCCATGTGCCTTACCTTCCCCCCTCCCCCTCTCCCTCCCTTCCTCCCTCCCTCCCTCCCTTCCTTCCTCCTCCCCTTCCTTCCTCCTCCCTCCCTCCTCCTCTTCCTTCCTCCCTCTCTTCCTTCCCTCCCTCCCTCCCTGTTGTCCATCTCTCTGCCTTTCTTCTTTCCTCTTCCTTCCATCTGCTCTCCTTCCTGCAGAGAACTTCACCTAAGGGCTGGATGGAAATGGACCATGGGGTCAACGCTGCAGAAGCACATCAACCAACAGATGGCAGTGACAGCCCCTTGTTGGCTGTCACTCAATCTAAGAACAAAGGGGCTTAAGGACACCTTAAAATGACCGGCCTGCTCACTGCATGGAGGAGTTTTCTGGGTGCCATGCTGCCTCGTCTCTGTTAAGGGATGATCTCACCTCCTTGAGCATTACTATGCCGACGCACTCCAACCTCTGGGACTTCTAGTTTGATTCTCGGAAAATGAGGAAATCGGCTTAGAACCCTTTGATCACCAGTTTTCCCTTCAAGCTCCGACATTCCGGTGTGCAGGTGGCGCACACTGTAAGGAGCTGGTCGGCCTTCCCCGGGCGTCCTCTTCCCTAGGGGGCAGTGTGGCGCTCGGGCAGCGTGAGCTACAGGCCAGTGCTCTGAGGCCAACTTTAAGGGCTTCTAATTTGTTTTAGTTAGCCTCTCCATATTTTTAGATTTCCCACCATTGAATACACATATAATTAAAATAATGTGGAGAAATCAAGCGACGTGGATGCTGGCTTGTAAGGAGTGACAGAGTGGCAGGGTAGGAGGGTCCCATTCACAGTGTGGTGCCAGGTGAGCACCCTGCCTCCCGAGGTCAGATTCCCCACTCTCAAAAGGAGCAAGGTGGTTTGTATCTCGGGCTCACGGCTCTGGGGGTGAGGCCCACCCATGCACTGGCCTGAAGAGCTTGGTGCTGGGGGCCATCGAGTGCAGTTACCCCCTCTCACTTTCCTGGTGTGCATGCAGACCCCACCCCTTCCCCAGGACACAAGGCTCTCTCCTGCTTGGTCCCCGCAGCAGGGCTGGCAGGCGCAGGAGCCTTGGCCTCTGAGTCAGGAGCTCCAGCTCCTCTCGCTCTTCAGGCACTCACCCAGCAGGCCCTGCAGGGACCAGGAGGCACCAAGGAGGGAAGCCATCTGGAAACCACTCCACGCCGTCCTGCATGGGTGACACGAGACCGCTTGGACGCAGACATGCTCATAGCACATCCCGTTCCAAACACAGGTCCTCGCGGGAGCCACATCCCCAGGGCTGCTGAGGGGCTGCTGAGGGGCCGCACCCTGCACTGTGCAGACTGAGCCGAATCCCACTCCCCATGGCATTCCAGTGGCTGGCAAAGCTCTAGCCTCTGCCGAAGCCCCGGAAATCTGCAGGAAGAGGAGTTTCAGAAGCAGGCCCTCCGAACACTTCCTTCCTTAGTGTGGGATATTCAAAAACGATTAAAGCTCACTGTGCACATCTTCCTTTTATTAAGCACTGAGTATGTGCAAGACGTCATGCTAAACATAGCACACACATCATTTGCCCAGTTTGCACACCCTGGAAGGCAGCACCCTTGGTGATCACAATAGCTATTATCCCTGTCAGTGATAAACATCATGACAATTATTATTAAGTCAATAATTACTATTAATGTGCAAGATCGAATAACTTGTCCGCAGTCTTAGAGTTTGCAAGTGGTATTCAAACTCAGCGTTTATCGGCCTGACCATCTCTGGGCTTAACCCCTGCCTCCCACCTTCGCCCTGATCATACCCATCGGAGGCCCAGTTCAGGGCTCTAGAGATCTATGCATGCACAACACTGACTCTACCTTCACAGCTTTCAGTCTTGTGTGGGAAATCAGTGGACAGAAATGTGTGTAACTAACTGTACTCACAGAACGAGCTCTTAAAGGAGGGTGGGAGGCCTGGTGATAAAGAAACCTGGAGTGGACCGAGGTAGAAGACCGTGGAAAGTCCCTGACCTCACCTTGACATGATGAAGGGGTGGGGTTGTAGCTGAACACCAGAGATGGTGAGAATGGGAAAAGGTGTAGAGAAAGAACTGTTATTATTCAGGAACAACTTGGTTTTGGGAAGGAAGATGGGGAGACCAGTTCCCTATGATGACCTCTGCATGCCCAGTGAGCCTCAGCTCCTGGCATTGATGCCTGGCGCTGGCCAGTGGCCCTCTGCAGCTCTGCCTGCTGAGGCAGGGATCTCTCTGTGGGAAGTCACGCTGTGAGCCACCAGGATCCTGCAGGAGACCACGTGGCAGGCACCTGTGAGAAGTAATATGTGCTTAATGGAGTTTCTAGCCACTAGGCTTTGGGTGATTTAAGCAACAATCCATAGCTAGCAGAGGAGCCATCAGATTACTTCATGATTTTAAGCGTGGTTGATGCTGGAGCTGATTTCATTTTCCTTCTTTCAAAGCACAACCCATTTAGGCTACTTTGTGACCCACCAATAAGGTCTTTCAGGAAACAGCCATCTGGCAATCGAAAACTAGACAGAAACTCTTTAAACCTTTAAGACGGTCTGTCCTAAACGTGTCATGTGATGGGGCGGGGGCCAGTCTTCAAAATACTTAGCTAAATTTCTTTAAAACCTCCTTTCCCTGTCGTATCAGTGTTGCCTTGATCAGCCTTAAACCTGTCTCTAGCCTGTCTCTAACACCACCGCTTACTCTCAAGCCAGGAGGCTTCTGTGGCTGCCTCCTCTGGACGAGTCTCATCATGCAGCTCTCTGTTTGTCTCTGCCTTCCGGGCCTTCTCCTCTTCCCATTGCTGGTGTCCTGCACAACAAAGGGGGCTCAGGAGCCGTCCTGGGGGCAAAGACCCCTGTGGGGTGGTCAGGAGGAGGATTGAAGGGAGTGTCCCTGACAAATAGGACAAATGAGCAAACAAAAGTGCCCTGTGATTTTTTTTCATGTGTATATTCACTAAGAGACCAGCCCCAGGTGGCAGCCTGCTTTGAGACAGTCTGCTTGATGTCTGTGACACTGGGGACAGCATATCTGTGTCTCAGTGTCTTCATATGCAAAGTGGCACCATCTGCCTCTGGTTCCTGGGGAGGTAGAGTGGGGTCACTCAGAGCAACTCTGGGTGCCTGTCCTGTGGGGTGAACTGTGCATGCATCTGAGCTGCGGGAGGGTGCGCGTCCTTCCATGCTACCCACGGGGGCAGCTGAGTTAGCTGCTAGCATTTGCTGCTCTTATTTGGGAGATGGCCTCTCTCATTGTCCTGGCAATAAGTGGCTGTGGTTTTGATGTCACCTTGAATACCATCTGTCCCTCCAGCACAAAAGCTGGAAGCACTTAATTCTGGTTTATATGGTGACATATGAGAGAGAACTTCCTGACTAGCATGGCAGTTGCTGACTCTCACTACCTGGTGAGACTTAATGCAACTGCATAACCATTTTTTGAGTCCATAATAGTGCCAGGATAGTTCTAGGTATATTGGTTGCACCCGTGCATAGAAAGCCCAGCTATCCTCCACTCACTGGTACTGTGTGTGCACACATTAGGCCCCAAGAGTGTGTACGAGCCAGAGAGGAGAGAGGAGGCAGGTAATGACAGCTAGCATGTCCTATGCCAGGAGTTTTATTGGGTCTTATCCTCACCAGAGTGCTTCAA